AACAATTCAGTTTACTTCGGAATGATTTTATTTTAGATGTCAAGTAAACAATTGTTTCAAACTTTCAAAGTATGAATAATTTATTATAAGAAAAAAAATGTAATCAATACAAGAAGATGAATGATATCAACTATTTTAAAATATCTAAGGCTTAATTTGTTTTTTAAATATGTACATATATAATTTTATATAAATATATACATAATATATATTATATAATATATTATCTGTTTGAACTATAAATCAAGAGCTTTTTTTATGTTCAAGAAGAACCTTTTTAAGGAATAAAAATATTCTTATGGAACCGACCTACAAAGACTTTTCTGGGGAATATATTTTTGTCTGGCAGTAAATAAACATTTTCTTTTTGTTATTTTTTCAAGGGTAGGGCGTAAATATTTGTGAGTTTCTGAGAAAAGCGATGAATCTATTGGTTTTACATTGGTGTATAATATATATGTATATGTATTATTTATCGATAAACACTTTGTCTAGTAGAAGAAATGTTCAAAAGTTTCATCATAATATATAGACTATATGAATTTTTTTTAAATTTCTTTTCGCAACCATTTGAATTTACCAAGCTAGTATGAAGGTGGCAGTGGCATGTGATTTTAGCAGCAAAGTAGTAGTGACTATAGTGGTGGAGCGTCATCGGTCAGCTAGCACACAGAGAGATACTTGGAGATAAATTGCATATCAGTTCCAGATTTGTAATTATATATATGGCTTGATCCATTTCCAATTAAAAAACCTAATTGAGTTCGATTAAACATCTACCAAGTTAATATTGGATTTTCTTATTGTCGTCTTATCTTTGTTATATATTATCGCTAACGATATGAAAAAAATACAGCCTAGAATTATAGATGAATATTGTCATCAAAACATAAGTCAGTAGTATAGTCGATTTTCGAGGCAAATACTTGTTCGACAATTATCATTATAATAAAATACAAGAGGTTATTTGTGTATCTATAAATTGTTGACATAATATTATTGCGTACTAATGGTCCAGAATATTTAAAATTAGAAGGAAAACGTTTTTTTAAACATATTTTTTTGACTCAACTAGGTGTTAATTTGGGTTTATTAGACTCAAATGCATTAAGTTCTGTTTTAGATTGTAAATGTCATACTTACCATAATATTATACAATAATAGGCAGGAATAAGCACCTACAGTTCTACAACACAATATAAATGTATAGATAAGTGATCATTTTCCGGTCAGTAACTATATTATACAGTTATAATTGTATTTTAATCTTGTTGTCAGAACTCGAAAGGTCTATAAATGATCTATGCGACTGAGTAGGTACGGTGATTACCTACATACCTACTTATGAGTCAACAGAGTAATGTTTACTATTACTTGCCAATAAAAAGGAAAGAGTCAAGAACTTATAAATAATTATCATGTAATACATATTATAATACTAATCATTTACATTTTTTTTGCGTATACAGGCTTAAAATTCCTACCTTGCGAGTGGTCATGGCAGGTAGGAGTCGAAGTTTTTGAAGTAACCGTCATAACCGAAAATATTATGCACTCCTATGGTATTACCCAGTTGCAAGGTAGCTTAAAAAACATAAGTATTATTCTAATCCATATAAAAACATATAATTTTTAGATTCTGATTACTGAGTGAAACGAAGAACTTAACGGTTCCCGTTCTATTTCCGGTAAGTCTCAGAATACTTTAGAGGTACATTTTTTCCCCCCAAGGGTATCAAAAAACAAATATGAACAAAATACATAACTAAAATTATAAGGTAAAAAAATAGTAGCTTAATGGACTTAAAAATATTAATACTTATATACTAATATCCAAAGTATATTTTAGAAAACTTGAGAAATGTTCTCTATCAAAAGTGATTTTTTTTGTTTAATAGTAATCTAGTTTTGTACAAGATATATGTGTGACTTGTAAACTAAATCAAAATGTGAATTAATTTTACCCTTTAATTCAATGAATTTCGAAACGAAGGTTTGACCGAGTACTCCTATGAGGATCGTTTTTTTTTTAATGAGACCTTATTTATTATTGATTTCATGTGTGCTATAAGGTGAGAACGAGTTGACGAGTCCACCCTAATGCCCTCACGCTTACCTGACCTAACATGTGATTTGTATAGTATTTTGTTCAACTTTTTTGTACATAAAACACTTTTCAAAAGTTCTCTAAGAGTATTTTCAACCTAACAAGCTCATTGTACAACTAAATATTATAAAAGTCAACATACACAATTACCAAGCTTTTAATGACTCTCTCGTAGTTTCGTCATAACTTATCGTGGCTCACAACTCATATTATGTATGAATATTACAACACTGTTTGTAATATTCAAGTACAAGAGATTGGCGTGGAGGTGAAATTATCAGGAAGCAAAATACCAAGCCACCACTCTAATTGTTCCGATTCATGTGCAAGTCGGCTAAATCGACTAATTCAAATCCGAGTCAACAAAATGCTCTTATTAGGCTGTATTCAAAATGATTTTGCTCCGTGCCTTGTTTACATTTTTTTCAGACTTGTGTTTTTTCAACTTTATATTATAATCTGTGAATCTTGGTCATCGTATAGGAAACAATTGTTTTATTTTACTTTGCACGGAAAACACTTACCATATTCTACATATTTAGACAATATTTTTTTTTTTTTATTAACAACATAACTGAGAAAGTTATTAATAACATAGCTGCCAGAGAACGTTCTATAATTAAGTTTCAAGTATTTTACTTTCAAATTACAGCAATTAACAGTGCATTATTAACTTTTAAAAAGTTTGGGCTAACTATTATAATTTTAATTGTGTATAATATATATACTATAGGAACCACAGTCTCGTTAAAACATTTAAGTGTACTCACTATATATTATTATGTGGTTCGCATATAATATTTTATTATTTCAACACTTATTGCATTTTTTCCAATCAACTAACGTGGTAATCAATATTTATAGTTATCTTTTCAAAATAAAAAATATTCAACGTTTTATTATTTCCTAACAAAACGTGTTTGGATTTAAATGATATTGACCTATAGTCATAAATATATTTTTTTAAATGATAATAAATCAATGAAGTAGGAAACAATGCGATTAAATTCCGACAATAATATTAATACAACGATGGCACACTGACACGGTTGTAATGACCGGCCAACCGTTTGGTGCTTATCTATTTGATGTAGGTACAATGAAGATGGACATTGTTTATAAATTATAATCGTTAAGATATGTAAAATATTAACAGAAAATGTGAAGTAAAATATGTCTTGAAACAGTATAGTGTTGAATTTAATGAACGAAAAAAACATCTTTTCGATGACCGCCGAACGATGGGTGCCGAATACAACAATAGAACCAAAGCTTTATACTTACATAACAATAATAATAAAGATGAGCCGATGCCGATTTGTTGGCGACGTTGTTGTTATTGCTGCTGTTTTTGTTTTTGTTTACACTATTATTGTAATAAATTATAATCAAAACACATTTGAATGAACATTTATTTTATATTGTACGATAAATAACGAAAAAATATACAAAGTAATAAATAAATTAATAATAATAATAATAATAATAATAATAATAAAAAAAAAGTCTATACAAAAATTTGACAAAGTTGGCTTAACACAAAATGTATTCGGTTTTAATTAAACTTGACGATACACAATACATTTCACGGGGTCAAAAAATATACACGAAAAATCGATACAAATTAAAAATTATATTAAATATATTATCACAGCTGAGAATATATAATTTATGTTATATATTTATACAAAATGAAGTATTTAACATGACTAGATCGCCTGGTTGAGTAGAAAATAAAGTCGGAAACCAATGCGCTTATTACAATAATTATAATATCAGTTGTAGGTTTAATAATAATAAATAATAATCTTATTATTATCATCTTGGATATTAAAGTAAAATGTACGACAGTGTTGAAAAAAATTCGAGTTATTTTTATTAAAACATTGTTGAGAGATATTATTTATTATTATACTGAAATTCGTATATGGGGGGAAAAATGATGTCGACAAAAACAACACAAAACGAAGCACTGGAGTAAACGTCAAAGTTCAGTACACGCCGAGTGTGCGCGTGGGCACATGTCTATGAACTTATTTATTATTATCGTTATCATTATCATTATCGCTATTGTTTCGGTTTGCTAAACGGTACGCCGAATAATAGACCACCACGGCATAATAATGATGTGCATACGTCGACGTATTTAGAAGTATTGGACCGAATACTATTATTATTATCTGTGCGAAATTCACATAATATTTTTAATTCCCAACGCGGAAGTGGACGACGAAAGGGTATTTTTTTTTTGTTCGGAGCTCAAGTAAAACAAAAGGAAATCGTTCCCTCACGTCGCCGCCCAGTCACATATAATATTCCGTCAAGTGCACGATAGTACACACACGCACGCACGTACACGTTGAATATTGTACGAAAATACACAATATAATAATAATAATTCCTCTATATTATCATCGAGGCTGTGACTCGCAGTTTGGTCCGACGTAAATTACGACGACACCATGCGAAGATTATGGAATGAACAGCTTTGGGGTTATGATTGCTTTTTCGGTATGTACCATAGTTGGTATATGGTCAGTAATAACGATAACGATAACGATAACGATAACGAAATAATAATATGGCTGGACTATGGAATGACTTACAATAGGTACCTACCTGCCTATATCTGTTGTGACACGAATGTTATAATAATAATATAATAGTATAATAGTGTCAGTGTGTGTACGCGAGAATTTTGACTAGAAATCCAACGGGAAAACTTAAAATTAACATTAAAACATTCATATTTCTAAACATAAAAAATAATTATTATTATAAGTTAATCGACTGAAATACAAAGACGTATAATAGGTATATAATTTAATAATATAATGCGTTATAATGTTTTATATAGTATATAATAATAATGGGAACGTAGAAAATACAATTTTTTTTATATATATTAAAAGGATCGTGTTAAAAAGATTTATTTGTAATTTTTGGTTTTGAGCGGCCTCTTCATTGACATTGCATAGACACTGAAACAAAATTACAAAAAAATCAAATTATAGCAGTTAAACATAAACTCTTATTAAGTAGGTGGGTAGGTTAGGAGAATAGAAATAATTAGTTATTACAAAAGCACAATATATAATGTACTTAATAATGATATATATAATTATTACGGCGTTATTAAAACGACTTTTTAAAATAAAATAAAAATGCCGTGTTTCTCCAAATAGTTTTATCGCGTATCTCGGGCTGCAGAAGTGGTGAACCATGAAGTTTTTGCAGAATAATTTATTTCAATTTGTTTAACTCGATTATAATGATAATGGAAAAATAAACGTTATTATCGTTTCGTTTTCGGTAAAATTGAATAGCTGTGTACGCGGTGAGGGTATTGTGTGTACAGCGTGCGATTTCCTTTTGTAAAATAATATATAAAGTTGTCGCCTGCACATTACACAAAACCAAAATTATAGGTATTATGGCTCTTTGTTATACACACTACAGTCGTATATGACGTCGAGGGTTGGATTTATTAAAAAAAATAAAGTGAAGTAATATACGTGGATACTGCTGCAGGAAATTCGAAGAGGTAAAAATGTTCAGTACCTACGGCGTTATTGAACGGTTTATAATATTATTGTACATTTGACTTAAACGCCGTTTGGAAAAATTATAAAAACACGCTAAAAAGAACCCTCCAGTCTCTCACCCTCTGCCCCGTAGAAGTGTGATCCAATCTCAAGTCATGGACTCTTTGAATTTTTCATCTACTTTGACGTGTTTGTATAATTATTTTATATTATACATGGTGTAACAAAATGACCAGCTGACAAATCAAATAGTTATAGTTCTAATCAATTTAATTTATAGACGCTTGCGATACAGGTACAGTATAATTATAATATAATTGTTAAATTTTATTTTTGAAGACTGAAAATAAAAAAAATAAAGTTTTATCAGATATTTTTTAGAAAAATTCACAATGGCCATGCTGTAAATCTAACATTTAGAAACATATTGATTTGTTGAAGTCAAATAGTTAAATTTTTTAAACATTGATATTTAACTATTTTTAAATTTTTAACTTTTTTCAAAATATTATTTTCGGAAATTGTTTTTGGACATCATTAAATCTTAAATCTTTAAATTTACTATCCATATAAATTTCATAGTTTATTTCATACGTTTAACTGAAATATTCATTTTTCGTCTGTGAGGTCTTCCTGGTACACCGTGTAGTGTTCTAATATTATGATATTATATCAATTTCGATTCGACAAATATCATTATAATTAATAAATAATAATACAATTATCAAGTAGCATAACAGTCGTGCATGACACGTCGCCTCATGTTCGACTGCTCTGGTGAGCAGTGAGCACTTGTAACTTGCTCTTAAACGGCTTCACTAAGTATAAGTATACACACAAACACACACACATATATATATATAATATAAACGTGAATTATTTAGATGACGTTACATATTATATACATGCATACGGTTGTCACGCGAGATTTACAACGGATTTCGCAATAGGCGGTCGCGAAACCAATTGAACAAACGCTGGCGATTATTCATTTCGGAATAATTGCCTTCGTCGTCTAATGAATCTTCCCGCGAAACGACATCAAATACGTCTTAATGGCGTGTGTATACGTTTTCTGGCCGCGACGAACCGAATTATTTTGTAAAACGATTTCGTAGTAATATTATTATATTCCCTGCAGCGTGCTCGGATGGCGTTCAAATGTGTATGATACCATAGAAGTTATTGAATACAACACATAGCAATTGATGATAATTGACGGTTGCGGACCGTGACATAGTGCTCGCCCACACAATATTAATAATTGGTAATGATATTATTTCAAATTTATTTTATTCATTGTATTTCGTTGCAGTTATACCGGCGCGATATTTTTGTTTCTTTTTCGTCTTCCTCGGGTCGATTAGGTATGCTAAGCGCGTCTAGAATAGGACCTAGGTATACGTTTATTGGTGACTAAACGGGAGAAAGATAATAGCGACGGTCTTTGACTTCAATTCGTTTGCCTTCTCACTTACATTTTCGTACGTCATCGATCCCGCGAAGACCATCGGTCGAATTTATCGCTCAGATTACTCGACGTGCACAATTATAGTAATAGGCGTACTATTGCAGTATACCTGGTTACAGTAAGACGCGAACCGGAGAAAACATTATGGAAATCGTCGAAAAGTGAGGTCGACCAGAAGTATATATTATTATTATTGTTATATATACCTAAACACCGCGGTAATAATAAATTAATAATAATATTATACGGACCTTATATAATATAATATATGTATATATATTATATATATATGCGTACAAAACAGTTCACGGCGATCGAATGCGATAACAGTGATATAGATACCATGTTTATATTCTGCATCAGTACTATAATATTATATACCTATACAAAACGAGCTGTATATACCTATTAATTTGCGGCATTATCACGGAGAGTTAGTCACGGGGTCGATGGCCAAAACACTAAGGTAGGAATACTATAACGATAACGACGTTATAATAATATAGTGTATAATAAATAATAATAATAATGATAATATGCAAACGGTTGTATACCGCGAGCATGGTAGGTACCTATAATAATAATAATTGTCGAATGCGCGCGTCCGATTTTCGTCGGTCCCAATTCACCACTTGAGGGATGGAGGGAGGGCCATGCTTCCGCTCATCATCGGTTTTTTCCCGCGTTTAATAATCCCATCATCATAAAATCACATTTGCGCCGATGCAGTTTTATAGATTTGCTATAGCTATTAAAACCGACATCGTTTTTTATATTTCGTGTAGGCGTAAATAGGACTAAAAAAGGTCTTGGTGGTGAGAAAAAAATGATCCGCAAAAATGCAGCCCACTGTGGTGCAAATAAAATGTTCACATTTAAAGCACCACTGCCAACAACGGTAAGGTACAATATTATTTTACAGTGTGATATTTTGTTGTCACCGTAAAATATAAATATGTTACGCAATTATTGTGTATCACTGACTTTTAGTCAAATTAAATAAATGGTCGGTGACAAATGAGTGCCGGCAACGAGTGGAAAAAGCTTTTGACCGTTTAGTGACACTCTGAAATGTTAAACGCAATGTTTTTGGTGTTTTTTTTCGGATACAAATTTTTAATTAATACGGATGATTATTATTTGAATTCCATTTGTCTGCAATTACATTTTTGCCAGAACATTTGTTATTGTCCGCAAAACGATCAAATGGCAAACATTGCTATGCAATATTTTATTTGAACGTATATTTTATTAATCTGATTTCACTAAAAATAGTAAAATAACAGATCAACGTGAGAAATTTAAAATCAACGCGTTGCCTCACAGAGTACACAAAAAACAGCTGCGTATTATGTATAACTTAAACGAAATCTAAATAAATATTCCAACGCAGAGTGATTTTATGATTATTTAACGAAATTTATATTTTATGATGGGTTTTTACTGTAAACGTATAATAATATATTGGTAGTACATTTTTACGATTCGGTACTAACGATATTATAATCTTAATTTCTTGCAGGTTTCCATTACAATGACGTATAAAGTCAAATATTTTCATGACCAAAGAAATCTGTCCGTTTTTACCGGCATCCTGCAGCTAGCGTTTTCCTTAAAAAGTTTTCTGCCTTGGACAAATTTCATTAAAGCGCGAGACTTTAGAGCAACATGCGGCGCGTCGCCCGATATTTAATTTGCACGTTCAACTTTTGTGCCTAAAACCCGAGATCACTGAGCCTACACACTGCTGTGACTGCAGCGGCGAAAGACGATTATTATTTTTTATTATTTAGACAGCTGTGCACTGCAAAAACAGAACGGTGTAATAATATTGTAATGATATTATATTATATTATAGCATTATGGCATGCAGTCGTAAAGTCCATGGACGTAGAATGAGAATATTGTCTGCCGTGAGAGTGGTGAAAGGTCACGCCTTTACCGAAATTGAATAAAACCCCTTCCTAAGTAAGTATGTACATCGATGTCTTTCATTTCATAAATATGTATTTTTAAATTTCTAAAAACTAAATAAACCTAATGGATTCTGTCGAACTTGAATTCGCTTCGTCGTGTGTATATTGTGTGTAAGACCGACAAGAAAAACAGAAATTGTCTTATCTTCTATTTTTGAAATGTGTTTTGTATACTACTGCAGTCAATCTATAACATGTACAAGTTTTCCGGCGCATTCAGAAAATTCGATTTAAAATTGAACGAAAATGTTACGTAACTTTAGATACACGGTGATCGTTGTTTCGGAGCTTTCGCACATAGAATTTCTTCGATAAGACTGCGAAAAACCGGAAAAACAATAACGATGAAATTCGCCACACGTCCACTGTTATTACAATATAAACTATACGCGATACACTGATGTATATATTACTATTCTCGTTGCACGATTTCCAAAAACAATATAATAAAGTCGAAAGTTTTCGCCGGTCGCGGCACACACGCGCTGAACATGCCATCTTATAAATTATAATAATAACAATATATCATGATATTATCTTAATATTATTTTACTCTGGAACGCCGCGATATGTGGTGGTGTGCACGCCTGCGCAGGAATGTGTTATTATTATTATTGAGACGCTTTTAGGTGCGTATAATAATAATATTATTATAATAATTATTATAATATTCTGCGGCAAGTCGTCTCGGTCTCAGTCTCCGTCGTCTCCGTACAAAACATAAACATTGACCTGGTTGCTGGTAGTGCCGCGGGTTCTCGCGCAAACGGCGGTACCGAGATAACATCGTCCGGCTGGAGCGCAAGCGCGCGCATCGCATCATCGTTATCGGTCGGGCGCATCGCTCGCGCCAAACGCCCGTGAAAACGACAGGTGCGGCCCGCCGGCTCGCTCGGATACCATAATAATATTAATATAATGCCAGTATAATATTATGTTCTCGTCATCGTCATTAAAATAATAATATATAATATGATATTATAGTTATA